TGCGGACAGGACCGGAGTTCAAAGAAATATCTAGTCAGTGATAATCTATACGTTTTCAATTGAGAGTATTGAATTAATCGATCTTGCGGGGTTCGATTCTTTTATTTTCATTGGAAGAAGTTTTTGCATCCAATTAGATATTATATCAGAGATTGATATAAAAACTATCTTGAGTTAAAAGTTGTACGGCACAGCCAGGCAACGTTATTTCTAGCGGAAAACTAAAAAATGTATTTTTTAATAAATGTTTTTACTGCACTATCAGCGGTAATAATTAAATTTTTAATAGTAATAGTATATTTAATTTGTACAGCACAACATTTCGGCGTTTCCATCCCAGCCCATGTTTATTAAAGGAAATGCCGACAATAATCCCGTTTTCGTTTTTTGCCGTTTTTCTTGAGAAAGTATACGTTTTTTGTTTCCAAATGCACCTGGTCATACTAGTGAAATAACTCAATTATGATCGAGTGCTCGTTGATGAATATTGACGATTTTTAATTATTTTTGGTCATATTGAACTTATTCTCCGAGATTTCTATTCGGATGCCAGTTATTAAAAATGACTGCCGCTTCTTGATGAGTTTTATAATCATCTCCCACAATCAAAACTATTTAAATTTTCTCCTAAGAAGTTAACAGAGCTGCCATTTCTTGTATTTTATAAATTGTAACTAGCGTTTTGACGTTTGCTATCAAAAATTCCATTGGTTTGTCAGTGCATCTTACAGGAGAAGGTAAGGTAGTCGGATTTTTGTAATTTTTGATATTTATGGTATGTGTAGTTTGGACCTTGAATAAGAATTTTTCGAAGTAGTTCGACGCAACGTTCATAAATTACCGAGATAATCAATTTTGAAGTTTTACCTGACAGCTAAATCCACTAGCATTATGTGACCCATTTTTCAACTGGGAGCGTGGCGTAATTGGTAGCGTTCGGGACTGACAGTCACGAGATGGCTGGTTCGAGTCCGTCGCGTGACATTTTTTTTTTTCAAAACGCACCATATAGTTTTTTATTATTTTTTTCATCTCGAAAATTATGAACAAACGAAATATTATAGTAAACACTTACGTATATGTAGAAATATTCTTCAAATATTTCATTAAAATGCACAATTGGTTGATAAACAATATTTATTATGAATTAACAATAAAGTTTCTTTAAAAAAAAACAAACAAGGTCAGGTAGGTTTTTTATTTTAATTTTAGTATTTGATATTTTACGCAGTGTGGCATAAGCCAGAATGATAGTTATCATAGAAACATGGGAAGCAGAAACTTTCTATGCCCGAGCAGGTGTGTTTTTTTAATCACGACCCACACAACCTAGCTCAAAATGTTAATTAAACACTTGAAAAATATTCCTACATACAGTTATCATAATATTTCGTTTGTTCATAATTTTCGAGATCAGAAAAAAAAAGAAAGGAAGCTAGATGCTTAAAAAATTTCTGCTTCCCATTTTTTTTATGATAACTACTATTCTGGCTCGTGCCACACTGCGTGTCAAATAGTAACATAAATATAAAATAAAAGAACATCCTACCTGACCTCGTTTGTTTTTTTTAATGAAATCTTATTGTTAGTTCATAATAAATATTGTTTATCAACCAATTGTGCTTTTTAATGAAATATTTGAATATTCCTACATATACATAAGTATTTATTATAATATTTCGTTTGTTCATAATTTTCGAGATGAAAAAAAAAAATAAAATACCATATGGTGCGTTATGAAAAAAAAAAAAAATTTCACGCGACGGACTCGAACTAGCGATATACTGACTGTCAGTTCCTAACGCTACCTATTAGGCCACGCTCCCAGTTGAGGAGTGTGTCACATCTAGTGGATTTAGCTGTCAGGTAAAACTTCAAAATCGATTATCTCGGTAAATTATGAACGTAGCGTAGAACTACTTCGAAAAATTGTTATTCAAGGTCCAAACTACACATACCATAAATATCAAAAATTACAAAAATCCGACTACCTTACCTGTTAGATTTAATGTCTATCTCTAGACGTAAATTATCAATGCTAATACGGAGAAGAGTTTGTAAAAATAACAAAATCTGTTTTTTAATGGTAAATGAATAATATTGGATACCTGACCGTAGTTTTCTATTTGGATCAACTTTAAATAACGATTGTCGATATTTTAAAAAATAAAGGTACTTTACTCTTGAGCAAAATTTACATTTTTCGACAAACCTCGTATACGACTGCAAAAAATTGAAATCTGATTATTTCATTTTGGATTTTAGGCCATGCAGAACTCTTCATCAAGAATAACTTTTTCTCATAAAACCAAAAAAGAGAAGGAGCGTTAAATTGACGTCCACGGGATGTCGGTTATTCAATTTTGTATTGCGATGAAATTTGTTTGTACAATTGCGGTACAATAATTGTATTAATTCTAAATTGACACAATTATTGAAGTAAAAATTGTAACGTTAGTTTCTCGTTTAAATCAACCTAAATACGTCCACTGTAAAATCATCGTAGTGAGAGAGCGACAGTCTCCGCCTCCAGCTGTAACGCCCGTGCGCCCGACCCCGCAGCGATACCTTAGCAGTGTACAGAGAACGGACTTTTAATACTTTAATAAGTACGTAGGTAGTAATAGGTGCCTAAATAAAATTTCTCATTTAGACTTATTTAATGATCGAAATCAATAAAAAATGACCAATGAAAAATAATCGATTAATTTATCAGTGGATAATATTTTTTGTAATTTGACTGTAAAACATAATTGAAAAATATGTTTGAATCTCGTACCTTATTTTTATCATTATTAAAAATTTATCTTTGTATTTATTAACTTTTAAAAATCTCGTAACAATATTTGAAAATTGAAAATTTACAACTTTTGCATTTCTCTTAAATCATCGGAAATATCTACATTCGATTTACGTACATTTCACAAAGAACAAGGGCCTCGCAAAGATCTGCCGCCCGGGGTCTCGCAAAAATCTGGCGCCCTGAACCTCGCAAGCTTAAGGCCGCCTCTGGGCGCCTTCATAGATGGAAATATATATCGTCAGGTATAGCCGCTGTATATGTGGTATACGAAGTGGCTATAATAAAGCCGCTATATTATATATAATTAAACTCGATCATATACTTACTCTTACTGTATTCAATTGTAGATATTATTGGTCTTATTCTTATAACTTACCAGTGACCACACAGACAGTGACCAGTGACGCCATTATAGTCAGAGTTACTGTGTAACAACCCTAAAATAATATCGAGGCTGCCCTCTAGTATATAGGAGAAAAGTCTAATACCTGTACAGTGTGAGACTAGCGGAAACTCTTGACGTTGACTGAGATATTGTAATAAGTAATAAGACTCGACAATAGATGCGCTGGTATCGAGCAGCTTTGTCTGATCCGAAAAGGAGAATGGCAATGCACTATCACGACCTCAGGAGGAATAAGTAAATATATTCCTCTGAGATCACGACCGTCTTCAACTAACTTAGTTGAAGACCATAGAAAAAGGATTTTATATACAGGGTGAGTCAAAATTCACTCCCCAGCGGCCGGATATATTTTCTAAAATAAAAAATAAAACAAAAATGTAGAATACTAAAATCACGAAAGCGGAGTATTAACACCATTAAAATCCATTTAAATCCATACAAAATAAGAAATAGCAAAAACGAAGATACTTCTGGCTTTGGCTAACCTTCAAAAACATTATTATTTTCGTTAATACACTTCTGCAATTTGTTGTAGAAATTATATTAATTTATTTCCGCTACTGCTTCATAAATCCTGCCAATAACATCATCCTCACCAACAAGCACAGTAAAATAAACCTTTTCTTTTATGTATCTCCATAACCAAAAGTGCGGGCGCACCATCGTGCTGAAACCACATAGTTGCACGTTATTGTAGAGGAATATCTTCTAACAAACCTGGCAAAATGTTCTTGCAAAAATTACTGTGATTTTCACCAATCTTGGCAAAAAATATGGACCTATGATCCTTTTCCCGTAAATACCTATCCAAATATTTACAGACCAACGTCTTTGCTGATTCCGCTGACGTTTTTCATGAGGATTCTCATAATGCCAATAATCAAGGTTGTCGTAATTGAAAACTCCTTGTTGGTTGAAATGAGCTTCATCGATAAATAAAACATTATAAAAAAAATCTGGATTGCGCTGAAAGGATCTTCGTTTTTGCTATTTCTTATTTTGTATGGATTTAAATGGATTTTAATTGTGTTAATATTAAACTAAAAAATTATAAATTTGAATTTTTCTTTACAAAATTTTCCGAAAACGGCTCCTCTTTCGAGATTTTAGTATTATACATTTCTGTTTTATTTTTTATTTTAGAATATATATCCGGCCGCTGGGGAGTGAATTATGACTCACCCTGTATAATCCTTTTTCTATGGTTGAAGACGGCCGTGGCACTATACATAGATTATACAGTGGCGTATTATTGTGCTATAAACTGTAATAACGCTTTATACAAAAATGTACAACTAATTAGAAGCATTTTTTCTCATTTGTGTGAATCAAATTTCCCACTTTTATTAATTTATTTATTACCATATACTCAGTAAAAGAGATTATACACATATAGATACATATTTATTTAAATCAATCAATGTCAATTAAATTTCCACACTTTGTTTAATATCTCTATGTAGCCTGTAATTTATCTATTTTTTTTTTTTCGGTCACCTCGACTTAAAACATGTAATTAATATAAGAAAAGTAGAGATTAAAAGAACAGTGTACACTTCTCACTTTTTAAAATCTGGTTTTAATTTCAAATTTAGGCGGGTAGACTTCTTTTCCCACCGTTTTCAAACCATCTCTGTACCACTGATCAGTAGTGAGATAGTTATGTAGGTGTGTCTCATATCTTATTAAGGCTGAACTTACATTATACTGAATTAAATTTCTATTTAAATAGAAACTCTTAATAGTACAATGAATTAAATATTGTACTGAAAATCTGATAAACGGTAAATAAACAAAATCGAATCGGTAAACCAGTTGCCATAACCTACAAATAATTACCAGCGTTGATTGGTCAATAATTCTCCCGCCACCTTTGTGTATAATGTTATTGTAGGTACCCCTCTAGTGCGACATTGAACTGCTGTAAACTAAAACGCTTTGGTGGCTAATCGATGTTCCTCTGTCTTCGCGGTTTGAGTTAGTTTGTAAAAGCTTACTTCGTCAGCGAGGTTACGTTTTGTAATCCAACTAATATTTGTGTGCGTTTTGTGTCGTTTGTGTTGAACATAAATAAATTTTGGAATGGAGAAACGTATAGAATTAGAAAAGCGAGGCAAAAACCCTGCCGACGTAAGTAGTTTCATATTTTTCTTATTGTAAATAGTAAAGGTGTCGTCATTTTTATACATGTGCTGAAGACTTTCTTGATGCCGGTTAGAATATCAATATATTAAAACTAAAACATTAAGTAGTAGAATAATATTTGCTCAATTATTTGTTCGATAATTTAGTAAAATTGTAGCAAACATGACTGGTATGGCATAAAAATATAAAAATATTGTAATGTCAGCTTAGAAGCGATGAACTTTTTAAGATTTTTGAGACATTTGAACAGTTTTTTTGTGTTAACTTGTTAAAAATTTACCTCTTTTATGATCATATTTAAGAAATTCTTATTTTACGCGGCAAATTTCAGGATAACCCTATCAGGTGGTTGCATAAATACTTTTAACTAATTTCATATATATTTAACAGTAGGTAGATATGTTTTATATTTATGCAGGAGCAGGAATATTAGTTTTAACATTGCATCAGTTAAATGCAATTTGTTTTCTTGTTTCAGATCAAAGAATTGAATTTGGATAATTGTCGAAGCACAAGCATCGTAGGATTGACAGATGAATTTACCAACTTAGAGAGTCTGTCTCTAATTAATGTTGGCCTTATTTCCCTTAAAGGATTCCCAAAACTGCCGAATTTAAAAAAGTTGGAATTAAGTGATAACAGGTGAGAGGCCATCTTTTTCTGTTTAGATTTGTAATTCATACTAAAATGTATAGGCAATATATATACCTAGGTACTGTACCTTTTCAATTTCTAAGGCAACTTCTATCTGTGTTATGGCCCAGGAAGATATTTTAACCAAAATACAAGCTTGTACCAATACTAAATTTACTTGTATTGATTTTGCATGACTTGAAACAAAGGAAATTGATTTTTATTTTCAGGATATGCAATGGTTTGAATCTTTTAGAAACAAGTCCTAAACTGACACACCTAAATTTGAGTGGTAATAAAATCAAAGACTTGGCAACACTGGAGCCTCTAAAGAATTTTAAATATTTGAAAAACTTGGATCTGTTCAACAATGAAGCCACTACGGTAGAAAATTACAGGGAAAAAGTGTTCAAGATGATCCCCAGCCTTAAATATTTAGATGGGTAATATAATACCGCTTATGAACCTGTTAATTTGTCTTTATACTATATTTGTGCGTATTTGTAGTTATGATGAAGCCGAAGGTGAAGCTGATGATAGTGATGCCGAGGAGGAAGTCAATGGTAACGAGGATGATTCTGTTGTAGACAGTTCTTCCGATGAGGAAGAAGACTTGGATGAAAGCGTAGGACTTGGAGCTGTTTATTCAGAAAATTTGGACGATCTTTCAGACGAAGGTGATTATGAGGCTGGCGAAGAGGAAGAAGAGGAGGATGGGATTGAAGAGGAAGAAGACGAGGATGGCACAGAAGAAGATGTACAATCGCCTGCATCCTCTTCTCCTGATTGTGAGTCTGGTTTTAATTACTTGAAATTATTATGTGCATTTAGTATTCGTTTGAGAATACGATTTATACCACTATACATAGTATAGTACAAACCAGTATGGTCGTAGGAGGATGCTTGCTGAAAAAATTTTTTATTAATGTACAGTCAATAATATGCCATTAAACGTGCGACAAATGAGGACATTTTTTATATGCAAATAAAAATTTTGAAAAGTTGGTGCATATTCGATAACTGTCCCAAGTACTTAAAATGGTTCTAAGTCGAACAGCGTACAGGGAGCCAAAAAATTAAAAATTATTCAGGAGTAAAGTAGGGTTATTCTTAAAAATTTGTCAAAACGTCATTAAGTAAGTTGTTCAGAATTAAAGATTATATCTAAATACAGTTATGGATTTCTATTCGAAAAAGAACGTTTTATTTGTAATATTTCAATGAACATGTGGATATCCGATAAAACGAAAACCTCTTATGATTTTACTGTTGACAAAATGTTTTGTTGAAGCCAGGACAATAATGAAATAGGTATGTGTTTTTACATTTTTTCTTTATAGAATTTTCCTTAAGCTAAGTATTTTTTGTTTTCTGAAAACTATAAAAATGTAAATTAGGGGGTTAGTCAAGAAAAAACAATTATCACATTTCACTAATAAATAGACGCCATGATTTTTAACTGTCTTTATGCAGTTAAAATTATAGAAAAAAAAAAACATTTAAATTTAATGAAAATCCTGTACTGCAAAATAATAATTTTCCAGAATATGTAAGTTAAATTTACTTAAATATTACCATGGATATTTCAATTAATTACATTTTTTTAATTATTTCCTAAGACCACAATCATAAGTAAAATTTTTCCAGAAAAAAGATGTATAGATTTATTTTCAGGAATTTTTTTCCCATCTCCAGATTAAAAAAAAACATTGTTAAATATACTTATATTTTTTTATTTTGGAATTAGTGTAAACAGTATAAATATTTTTAAATCAATTATGTAATAATAATCCAACTAAATTTTAAACTTTTAAGTTATTGTAAATATCCATGAATATCTATTACATTAATAAAAATAAACGATTTACAAATTTTTTTTTTAATTTCCTCAGCAACATTAAATAGAAATGAAACTTTGAACATGATTTAAATGATGAACACAAAGCCATGGAAAAATATTGAAATATTTGTAAAAACAGGCAAAAAATCATGGCATCTATTTATTTGTAAAATATAATTATTGTTCTCTCTTGGCTAAAACCCATATTCAAGCATTTCTTGAGTTTAAATAAACAAATAATAAAAGCACTTTACTTAACGAAAATTTAACATTTTTTATATTTTTGTACACTTCGTGTTGGTTAAATTGTTTGGCATTTGAATAGTGGCGGTGCGCCCGTGCCGTGGGGAGGGGGTGAGCTCGATGAGGCTCGAGTGGCTGCGCGGTCGCGGGGTCAGTAGTTGTACAGACTGGAAGAGAGACGGAGTGTAAGAATATATACATGTCTGATAAAACCCATAACATTACTTGTTCTATGTAATAAAGTTATTGCTCTATATGGTGTATTAATTCAATAAGAAAATAAATAAACACTTCGTATATTTAATCTCATATTTGATTACTGCTCGTTGCTTCCCAGGATAAGTAAAAGACTCTCAAAAAATGAACAATTGAAATGTTTACAAAAGTGCGATACCCCATCTGGGGACACACATACATTTAACTGAATGGTAGCTGGTGAAAATTAAAGTGGGCATATTATGAAAATGGAACTGGACTGTCATGATGAAAAAATTTACAAACTATAAAATTTTAATAAAAATTAAGAAAAAAACCTGTTCGTGTTTGTCGGTTGATTATGAAAAAAAAAAATGTAAATATAGAGGGTGTAACTTTAAATAAATTTATTTAGGGGCTACTTAATCGAAGGATCTCGTCTAACCCCATCTAAGTTTGTTAAAAGCGCTTTGCGTGCCATGAGTGTGGAACAGCCGAATGTATAAAAACATACATACATTCAAATTTTGCCACAAGCGACAGTTGTTATCAATTTAAGAAAATTCAAATATTTGCTTGAGGAAGTTACCTTCGACCTTAAGAAAAACATCACAAGTTTGTTTACATAAGCGCTCACTCAATTGGGAGCTGCACCATGCACTGTTGTCAAAACTATTCCTGATTCGTATATTATGTACATACTTATCTTTCACAGAATTTTATACATACAAGGTGTGGTGTGTATAATCTATAAAAATTAAACTACAACTTCCTAACGATATTTGTAATAGAAAAATCTTATACGAAAAAATTCTATTTTTGCGTTGTTTTTTTTTTTTCATAAATTAAGGTTCAATTATGGATCAAAATATTTTCTCTGGGACGGTCCTGTCCATGTGCTGTACAATGAGTTACGTGGCGCCGACGCACCCAATTTTGGCGAATATTTTCCCAAAATCCAGGTATTCCCCCAATTGTGTCAGCAGCTTCAAGTATACGGTTTCGCAATTCTTCCAGCGTAGCAATTGGAGCATTGTACACCAATAACTTCAAGTGACTCCAAAGATGAAAGTCCATTGGAATTAGATCGGGTGACCAAGGTGGCCACGGCACAGGACCAAAGCGTCCAATCCATCGCTGAGGAAACATTTCATTCAAAAGTGTTGCTACTTCTCGAGTACTATCTAGAGGAGCCTCATCTTGAAGATAAAACATGCGTGCCGGAACTTGTAATGCTACATCGTCCAATAATTCAGGCAACCGGTTCTCCAAAAAGTCAGCATATGTTGGTCACAAATACATCGCCTATTATGGCAGCCCAAACATTTACCGAGAACCGATGTTGAAAATTAGTTTCCCTAATCGCGTGAGGATTTTCATCGGCCCATATGTGCTTATTATGGAAATTCACTTCGTCACGGGTAAATGTCGCCTCATCTGTTACACAAATATAAGCCGGAAGGTCAACTTGATTGGCATATTGCAGTAAAAATCATCTGCAAAAACGCATCACAATCTGGGGGTAAAATCTGTTGAACTGGTTGCAGATGATAGGGGTGCAACAGCTGTCGTCTTAAGATGCGAGACGGTACGAGATGAGGTTCCTACTTGCTGTGCGAGTCGTCGAGTACTAATTGTGGGGTCTTTGTTAAGGTTCACTTGCTGACCACGTCCTTCTTCTCTAGGAATAACACTTCCCGTATCTCGCAGCCGTTAAACGCACTGTAGGATTGTATTTGCACATGGGGGGGGGGGTGACGTTGTGGCCATCATTCCCGGTACAGCCTAGTCGCCATGGGCGCATTTTCTCTGCACCATACACTAACACCATATCGACACGTTTGAAAATAGTTAATGCATTGTTTTCTTGGTTCATTGTAAAACTAGTTTGTGTACAAACATTTTTAATGTACTTGGCACTATTCTTATTTTTTACTTGTTTATAAAAATTACACTGTCACTATCGTGGAATTACAAAATAAAAACTTCTTTGGAATCTTTCACTTTTTAACGCTTAAAAGAATAATGAAAACAAATACAAAATCAGTTGACTGCACAAATTTTTTTGCAATGTAACCTAACCTTCTATTAGTATTACTAGTATTAGATTATACCGACTTAAAATTATAAGGTTGCACCTCGGGGTCCCATAAAAACATTTCCAAAGTTTTTAATAAATAACACGGGGTCGGCCTTCATTTTCGTAGAATAAATGAACTTTAATTTTACAAAAAAAAAAAACGTGAAGATAGAACTTTTTTGTATAAGAATTTTCTATTACAAATATCATCAGGAAGCTATAGTTTAATTTTTATAGATTATACACGCCACACCCTGTATACACTTACACTACACAAGACACTTAAAACCAATTTAAATTTTACTCTAAAATAAAATTTAATAAATACATGACACTGCATTATTCAAATTCTATTTCGATTTCTCATGTTTTCAACCCTTTTGGAGGTCTTCAAGTTTGCAACCCCATTTTAATTTTTTATTCTCTAAACGGGTGATCACTTTTAAGGTGTACACCGCTAGTATCTCCTGAAGTAAAAAATGCATATACAGGATTGGTTAAATTACTTACATATTTTTATGCCATTTCGGATTATGAAAAGAAATTGGAGATAAGTTGCACCATCCTGAAAAAACTGAAAGTAGAACAACTAAAATTGCTATCTGTATGTGAGTTGATATGTTCCATCTGTTGGAAGGTAAAAACATTCCAGGCCTACTAGATTCTTACGTTTTCATAACCAACTTTTGATTTTCTTATGGTCCCTATATTGGATCTTCGCACAGTCAGGTGAAGTATTAAATTTTGAATTCGAGGGTGTATAGCAACGGTCGGCAGCTGGTGGACCACGGTCCAGGTCTGGACCGCAGAAGGTAAAGTACTGAACCGCCAAAAATTTTTTGAAAGTATAAAATTAACAAATTATTTAAAAAATATTTTTTTTTAAGTTTCAGTACCACCCTTATCATTTTTTTTAGTATTTTACAATTGTGTGACTGATTTGAGTTCTTAATGGTTAGTAAGCAGATTAAATTTGAGTGCAAATTAAAATTAAAAAGTTACTAACAAATATGAATTTTTTTTTTCTGGACCTTGTTAAAAATTTTCAAAAGTATAGGGACCCCACCTAAAATTACTTGCCGATCCCTGGTGTTTAGTGTACAAATAATACTTGGGTGAAGACATTTTATTAAAGGCCAAAAAACATCAATTTTATGATTTGATCGTAGTAGTCATGAAAAAAACAAAGGAAGATTTTTAACATTTTTGTTTAAAAGTATGCAAACTGTTATTTACTGCTGTAAATAAGTGCTCAGATATTTTTGTTTTTTATTTGTAATGGTATAATAATCAGACATTTTTACGATTTATTATGGAAAATTACTAATAAATTAATAATTAATAGCCAGAAACAAATAAATTTAAATTACATAAGTTATTCACATTATTCCCATCTATTTGATGCAAAGATTTATTCTGCGAGCCATGTTTCTTCGTGAATCTTGAATTGTTTCCGGTGGAATTGATTGAAGCACTTCTGTTATTTTACCTCGCAATTCTTCAATACACTGGACTGGTTTATCATAAATCATATAATTTACAGATCCTCCAAAATTTCTCCAAGACCATCCCCATTTTGCTGAAACCAGTTTGAGATTCACAATTTCTCAAGAGACCATTTATCTAGAATTTCTTTAAAATCATTTCGTAGAAAGTTAAAATATGGTCATCGGTCCATAATATTTAACAGAAAATTCCAGTTTTCGTTGGTTATTTTCAGGCTGCAATGTTTTCATTAATTTAAATTTAAATCGCGATACTTATGTTTTCTTAAAAATCTTTGAACGTCTGACTTAAAATACATTCTAATTCCACCTATCTTTGGGTCCTTCTGGATTAATGTTAATTTATACCAAGAGATTAATTTTATTTATATGTAGTTCCATTATCAACATTGGATAATATTCCTATTTGATTGCCTTCTCTGGGGATGCATCCCTTTATAACGTGATGCAGCCACTGAATTTCTGTTACAATTCATGTAAACGTACATATCTGTCTTTTCACTTACTGAATATTGTGTCATTACAAACAAATGATAAAAACACTTGAGCACTTATCTACAGCAATAATTGATTGTTTACTTTTAAACAAAAATGTAAAATATTTCATATAATTTTTTGCCCTTTGATAAAATCCCTTCGCCCAAGTATTATACATTGTTGTTGAACTCGAAATTTAATGCTTCATTTAATTGTGCAATAATCCAGCATGGTGTCCATAAGAAAATCAAAAAATTGGTTATGAAAATGTGAGGATCTAGGAGGCCCAGAAGATATTTCATTAACCTGTTTTCAATGATAGGCATGGAAGAAATAAGAAATTTCAGGAACGGTGCCACTTTTTTCCAATTAAAACCACTAATGTTTGGCAGCTGCCACTGAATTAATAGTCTAGAAGAATAAGGAAAAAATGAGCCAACTTTTTTATTCTGAGATTTTTTTATAAAAAAAGTGTAGGTTTTAAGATATAGCATATATGTATATGATTTTTCGCGTTTTTTGACTAAAAACTGCCGATATCTGAAAATGCATTTTTTCGAAAAAAGTCAAATAAGTTGTTCAAAATTAAATTTTCTACAAAACTGCTCCTATGAAAAATTTCGATTTTCCCAATAATTTCCCATATATTTTTTAAATGAAGTACAGATTATGTGAAAATTAATATTTTGGATGCAAATAATGGCCAATTAATTTTTAGATAACAAAAGTGAATGAGAGAAAAGAAAATTGCGGAAAATTCTTGGAAAATGTTATGAATTCAGTTTTCCAAGGTTTGAATATTTATAAGCATCAAATGTATTCATTTTATAGGTTTTCGAGGGTGTACATTACAATTAATTACCTATGCGCTTTTTAATATTTTCCAAAAAATTTGGTTTTGTAACAACGACAAATCAGTTTTACATAAGAAATTTGTATATGGAAGTCCATCAAAAATTGTTTAAAATAAATAAATAAGTTGTTTTTTTAATTATAAATAAATAAAAAATATTTTGTAATTTTTTTTGTTACACCTTTGCAGCTCCAGATAATTTAAATTTTCAATTTCATTATATCACAAATTTCAAAAAAAACAGATTTTTTTTTGGAAAATATTAAAAAGTACATAAATAATTGGTAATGAACATTCTTAAAATCGTATAAAATGATATGTTTGATGCTCATAAATATTCAAACCTCGGAAAACTGTATTCATAAGATTTTCCAAGAATTTTCTTTCCTCTAATTCACTTTTGTTATTTAAAAATGACAATCATTATTTTGGCTCAAAAATATTAATATCAACATAATCTGTTCTTGAAATAAAAAATATACGGAAAAACTATTGGGAAAATTGAAATTTTCATAGGAACAATTTTGTAGGAAATATTTTGTACATTTATTTGAAACTTTTTTCGAAAAAATCTTCATTGAGATATTGGCAGTTTTTATGTCTACATGTCTAAAAAGGCTGTATGTTGTTGCTGCTGGTGGTTGCGTGTGTGACATATTATGTTGTCTGACCTCAAAACCTACACTTTTCTATAAAAAGATCACGGAGTAAAAAGTATGCATATATTATTCCTAGTAATTTTATGTCTTAACTCTCCTGGACTATAACTAGAGACAAGAGTTTAACAGTTTGTTAAAGAATTGTAAGGAGAGAGTGTAATTTGGAAATTCTATGTCTCATCTGACCATGATTATTTGTTGCAGTCGCAAGGGGAAAAAAGCGGAAATTGGAAGACGGCGATGAAAATTAAGATGCGTCGACAGTAGTGATATGAACATTTTTTACTGACCAATGAAAGTGTCTCCAACACGGTGAGAAGAGACGAATTATATCGTCGCCCCTGGCTGTGGTTTCATACTTTACAAAAATAAACATCAAAAGAAAAAAAAACATTGGTGTGTCTATAATAATAATAATAATAATTTGCTAAATTTACATATTCTAAATTTACCTGAAAAACCCCATCCCCGAAACGGAAGAAACATTTCGAAAAAAGATACCTCTAGAGTTATTATAGTTGTAAAGTAGCAGCCAGACGTTGTTAAAAATGTAAGTCAATGATGGAATAGTTATATTTTGTACATCCATTATAGATATGTCTAGTAGTTTAGGGTGTTTACATTTACATATAGCTAAGTTATTTGTTTTTTTTATATATAAGTAATTTTGTGTTATGCCGCCAATTTCAAATCAAATTCTAATATAGATTTATTTCTGCGATCCTAAGTTTCCTTTTGTTTTTCTCTCTCCATCTTAAAGGTATTAAGTTGATTCGGACAAACTCAATTTTTTATTTTTTTTAATACTGTCAAATGAAATCGTGCGATGTTCTTCGATAACAGAAGTCTAGGCGAGCGAAGGATATCTAACCTCACAGACTGCTGAAAGAACTACTCTGTGGACTACGTGCCTTGACTAGCAGTGAATTACGCCCTTAATAACTATTAAATGGCTAGTAATAAACAATTATCCATAATTAAAATTGATATAGTATAAATATAACTAATACAAAAATATATAATTGATATACTGAAAAATGCAATAATTCGCAGAAATATCTTGTATTCATGCTGCCCTACTATCACCCTTGACAAAGACTAATCAAGTAAAGAATAGCTGCTGCAAAGAGACCTTTTCGTTTCCACTTTTTACTTGGTATTGTTTCATCGGGCAGCCTCCCCTAAAGGGAAATAATTAAAATATTAATATAACAAAATTATGGTTATCTAAACACTAAACTCCTAGAAAAAAGTGCAAAACTTGATATAAAAATAAGTCTTTTAAGAAGAAATTTAATAAAAAGCATAAACATTGGTTTGTTAAAAACAAATGACATCCCAGTCACTTGTTTCAAAATGTCATTTTTTTTCATGGACTTTGTTATTATTTTTTATATTATATTATTTATGTATAAGGGAAGCTGCCTGATGAAACGGTCTCAGGTAAAATGTGAAAACAAAAAAACCTCTTGTGTAGCAGTTGTTTTTGTCAAGGATGATAATAGGATAGAAAGAATGCAGGATATTTATTTGATTGATTGGATTTATTTAACAACTTTAATACTTATGTCAGGTATCAATTTTTGTATTAATTAGGTATATTTTAGTGTTAAGTTTTTATTTTAGATAATTTTAGCTATTTACTGGTTATTGGGAACGTGCAGTCCATAGAGTAGTTGTTGTCCGCAACACCGGCAGTTTAGGAGTTTTGTTGTGTGATACCTACATTTTTGGTATCAAATAACATTGTTTAACTTCATTTAATAGGATTTTTTTAGAAAAATTTGTTTGAATTAGCATCATTACACACATTTAGAATAAAGTAATAAATACGAGAGCTAATAACAAAATATGGTTTTTTCCTTTTGCTGCAGAAAGGCGTAATTGTAAAAATGCATTGAACGTCACAATTTTATCAAACAGAAACTATAGTTACTTGTTCCATTGGGATAAAAAAATGTGAAATTTTAATAATAAAATAATAATATAGAACAATATTTAAAGTTCTAGTTAAATAGTATACAAGGCGAATGGGCTGTCACATTTCAAGGGCGGCTTCACCAGAATAAAGTAAACCGATTTCAAGTTAAGGAGAGCATTAGAAAACAATTTTTTTTTTTTTGTAAATGCAGGGTGTAAGTATACCAATTTGGACACACTGGGATCATTGGGGAATTTGGTGGATCTGGAAATGTCGGGGAATTTTTCAGATTTCCTGGGATTGTTTTCAAATTCCAATTATTGGGTTCACCCTGTGTATAGATATAATGAATGCTTAAGAGTTGACGCCAAACTGAATTTTCCTTTCTAATAATTTGTCTGAATAATTGGTATTCAGAGCAACTGAAATAAAGTGACTGATTTGAAAAAAATTGCATTATTTTAATCGCTCAAAATTAAAATTACAAAATATGGTCCAATTCGAACGGCTTTCTTTTATTTTGATTAAATTTTCATTTCTACATCAAAATGTTTAATAAACATAATATGAAGAAAAAATGTCATAACACACATATAT